AACTAAAAAGTATCTGGGAGTAAAATCCTTAGTGACTATGCAAATATCCTTTTCACACTGTCCTGTACTGATTTTAATCTTCACATATAATTCTTCCCCGTAATACTCATTACATTGGGTGTTTGTCAAACTTATCAATATTTTTAAAGATCTTTTGAATGTCATAGGCAAATTATGTCCTCAGATTAGAAAAAAATCTGTAAGCAAGAACCTGATTGGAAATTATTTTGATCAATAGGTTAACTATATGGCTTATAGATTCTGTGGAAGGGCCGGGGATTTAGCTCAGTGGTTCCACCGCCTGCCTCGCAAGCACAAGGACTCAAGTTCGATCCTGGTATCAAAATAAATAAATAAATAAACAAACTAATTAATTAATTCTGTGGAAGATACAGGACTATTGTACTTAAATCATTTAACTTTTTTTGGCATATTATACTGAGAAAGCAGTTATATAATCCAGTGATTTCTATTCATTTGTTGGGTCAGGATGATTCATAATGAACCAAGGAAGTTCGGTATTTCTAACCCCACTTTACTTTTCAAAATAAACTTTCTTGGTCCATAGGAAGGAACAGAAAATGCTAGCTACACAACCATGAACTAAAACTCTTTCAATCTCAATTGTTTTATTTTTGTCATGAAACAAATTTTAAAAATGTATCCCACAGTTCAACACTACATTTCATGGTGCATATCACAACTCCAACCTGACATTAACATTTTGCTCTAGAAACAAAAGGTGTTAGGTATCTGGTTCCCAACCTGAAGAGTAATGGATTATAAAACAATTAGATATTTATTTTTCCACTGGTATTTTTTCCATTTTGTATTTGAAATAAAATCCCTAATATGATATGATGTATTCGTGTCATGCAGGTACTATATATACTAGGGTCTTGGAAGGAAGCAGGTGTCCAGTCAAATGGGGTCTTTGAGTTAAATGAAAGGACCACTCTAAAATTTTAGTGCGCACTGGATTATAAAGAGTAAACCAGGTCTGGTGAAGTGTCTGAACTTGCAATGCCAGTAGGCCTGAAGATGTAAGGTCACAGTTCATTCAAACCCACAGTTTGGGAAAGTCAAATAAGAGCCTCCTGTACAGGAACAAAGTTGGTGCTAAAGTACAGTTTCACTCTCCTCCCGCTCTTGATCTACTTCCAGTGTCTTCCATTTGCTAAATCCAACTGCCAGCTAAAGAGACAAAATGACTAAAGGGATGTTGTCCTTAAAGGTCCATCTCTAGAGACACAGAGTAGGAGGAGAAAGGTAGAATAGATCTGGAAGGGCAAATGGGGATTATCTAGCACATTATCTTTCAGTAAAAGTCCAGTAGATTAAATATTTGATCATTCATATTTCTTATAGGTGGCTTCCTTCATTTAGATTATGAGGAAGATCCCTGAAGTGTTCTAAGTTTGTAACCCTGAGGGATAGTAATTTCATAGATCTTGGGGGTTGGTCTCACTATTGTTTCCTCTGTCATACTGAATTGAATATTTGATAAGAGACTTACATATCTCTATGTGACTTTTTTGGTTTCCCAGATGGTGATGTATGCATCTTTAATACATTTTTTAAAATAGTAAAAATATAAAGTCATGAAATGAAAGTGATCTAGGGTATAATAAGACAGGTGTTTGATATTATTCTTTTTGTTAGTTGTGTATCCTGTATTCTCTACTTTTGCATTATTCTTGTGCTTGCCTCTTGGCTATATAGTACAGGCCTTTTAGCTGTGGTAAGCCTGATGGAACATGTAGATGAATCAGTGGATTTATATCAAAAGTATAATAGTAGTTTTTAACAATGTATCAGAATATATGCTTTAAATATTTTAAACAAGGCATAAACCCTCAAATCAGTGATATTTTAGAACTTAAAAAAATCAATTTATTTTCCCATCACATATCGTGAAAACTCCTTATCCGATGAATAAATCACAAAATTCAATGAGAAACAAAATGGTACATAAATATTAATAATTGATCTCAAGGTAAAATAACTTAAATGTTTATGACCCAATAAAGTAGATGAAGCTCATAAATATATATATATATATATTTTTTTTTTTTTGTATTGGGATCGAACTCAGGTCCTTGCACTTAAGAGGCAGGCGGTGGAACCACTGAGCTAAATCCCAGGCCCCTTGAAGCTCATTTATAATCAAACAGGAATAAAATTATTCTAGGAATATTCAAATAGAAATTAAATTATTTCTGCTTTGCTTTTGTTTTTCCCCCTTTAGGTTCACAATAGTATTCTTAATTGATCTTTTGAATATATTTGAAAACAATAAAAAATTTGAAAGATCTAACATTAGAAATTAGCATCTCGTTTTTATAAATTGAGTCATAAGAAATAAATGGAGTCTAAGTAAAACTTTTTTTTGCATTTTAGTTTCCTTCATATAAATAATGCTCTTTCTAAAGTTTGGCTTTTGATATTTTTAATAAAATTTATAATGGTTTCTCTTCTAAGTACTGAAATGCTCATCTTGTAAGTACAAATTTTTATTGTTATTTTCTTACAATGTATTGAGAAAAAAAAACTTTGGAAATGACATCATGCTAAGATAGTTCCATGACCCTAAATATCACTTTCTGGAATCTGTGTTATAGCTGTATCATTTAAATTCTTAATAAGGTCAAAATTAATTAGTTAATGCTTAATCTTAAACAGAACAAGTAGGTATTTGAACATTTAACAAATGAGGAAAGAATGATAATTATGTGACTAACCTAAGTTATTCTTTTTTAGAGTTAACAGTGGCCCAATCTATTAATGTTAACAGATGTTTGTGATTTAGTTCTATTTGGTTTCTTTTTACAGAGATTTCATCAGCATCTAAAACAGATAGTATAACATATAGTCTATACCTAAAACGCATATACTTGTGCCTTTTTCAAAATATACTTGAACAACACAGCAATGAATCAGTAAATGTAAGAAACTTCAGCCAACTAGAAAAATTATTTCAGCACCATAATAATTGAGGGAACACACAAAAAATGCAGACCAAAGGACATAAGTAGTATATACAAGCGATCTTACCCACAGGCTTCCAAGGTTATATAATGAGTTCAGAATATAATTCTATATACTTTTCTTTAGCTATATTTCTCCAAATTGTAAATCGTGCCCATCTATGACCTTGAAACATCATAAATTACTAAAAATATTACAGCAGGAAAATATATCAATACATTTTAGAAAAAAATTTGCAAAAATTTTCTAAAATATGTCTTTGATTGACTTAATTAAAAAGCCATTTAGTAATTCCCTAGTCTATGACTAATGTGTAATCTAGTTTTCTATTTTAAGCCTTTAAAATTGTACACTTGCACTTTTGCTACTAAATCCAACTTATTCCCTGGGGGGGGGGTGCAAAAATTTGACGTAGTACAATGATTGTTACAGAGTATAATATTAATTTGTTACAATTATATGAGACCTATATGTTATATTCTTACTTGCACATATGAATGCATATGTGCATGTTTATAGAATACAGAATATACAGTTGTTTAAAAACTCCAAAGGTGGCAGTTTAAAGACTATTTTGTTGCTAATAATGGCTTAATACCTAAAACAGAGTCCTTTACAAGGTAAATTAACCAGGGAAATATGCCAATTCTGACTTCATTTCCATCCCGTTCAATGACTGTATTCACTCTTTAGATTTAAAGCTCTTCATTTATTGTTCCTCAACATTCTGTGTTAAACCTTAACAGTTTAACACAGATGGATGGATCAAGTCCATTGTGTCCAACTGCATGCAGCTTTAAAAGCTCTGCAGTATTTTACTCTTTCCATTGTGTCTGGCTTCTCTGAGTGCTCTGCTCGCTGCATCTTACTCGCATTCTCTGTTTTCTAAACCTATTTATGCCTATTCTTTCTGAAGACATTTGTTCATCGGGGAGCTCAAATTGACTTCTCCCCATTTTATTTCCTTAACTAAAAATGTACCATTAAGGTTGATTGAACTCTTTTAAAGCCCTTTATAAAAAATGAAAGGCCATATGAAAGCAGGCTATCAGTGTTTGTAAATATCTGTTTTAAGCCAAATTGATAGGAAGGAATATGAAATAATTAGAAACTTAAAAATGCTATTGATTTTTTTTTACAGATTAGTCTTTTTTGGGATCCTCTGAGAGGCACACTTGTAAACATTCTGGCAGGAAAGGGAGAAGTAACACATTATAATTCACAATAAAACAAATAGAGCCAAACCACTAGAATTATCAAAAACATCTTCTAGAAAAAAACCTTATTTTACAATAAGATATAAAACAATTAGGTCACGAGTAATACAGCTTTTAAATATCACTACTTTAATTTTTTTCTAATAAAACACATAGTTGTTATTTTCATTGTTTGTGAAACAGATCATCACTGACCTTTTTCTATTTATAACATTTAAAAATAACTGCTGGTGGGAAATACTTTTAAACATTTGGAAATTAATTAAAATTATAAAATTAAAAACCAGAAGAAAATTTAGAATACTATTTGTGGAAAATATTTCATATTTATTTCTATTTTCATGTCTGATTACAATGTACTTCATTTACAAAACACCAAAATATGTCATTTTGCTTTGGATTTTTATTCAGTGCGTATAGAAAGAGTATTATATTTAATGATATAATATAAAGAAAAATCTGTTCTAAGTTTAAAGTTGGCATTTCAGAGTCACTAAAATCTTACATAGCACATGGCAATGCTGATGAACTGGTTGTTTGATTTACCTGAAAGATCACACAGTTAGGACAAAGTCTAATAAAATATAAAAGGCAAATAATTTAATTTCATGTAATTAGTACTTTCAAAGATATATTGAAATTTTCTTTGAATATGCTATTTTTAGGTTATAAATCTCATGTTTTTTTCCTATTAAATCATCAACTGTATCTTAATCACAGTATATGATGTACATTCTAGGCAAAAACATATCTACGGTTAGAGATAATTTTGGGTTAAAAGAAAAATTCCAGGGCTATAAAAAAGAAGTAATCAAGTTTTTATTGAACAATTAATTATGGTTAACTTTCATGTCTAGAAATCAGAAGATCAATCTGAAATCACCTATATTCAGTTCAGTATTACAGTCTTTTAATCCATAGTTAAAGTGCCGTGACTTCTAATTTGATAGGCTGGTTGTGGAATTAAACATTGAAAACAAGTCATATAATCATGCATATGATTGCATGCAAAATAAATCTACCAAGACACTTGCTGCAAACAAAGGAATAATACCTTAGTGTAGAAATTATACATTTACCTACACTAAATAGCTTTTAAGTCTTTACATATGTTAGGACAACTAATTGCCCATTCATTTGAATTGAAGAAGCAAACAATGTGGAGGGGAAGGAGATGTAAAAAGAATTAAAATGTGTTATGTACTCCCCATCATGAATGTAATCACTATGTACTGTAAATGTACCAATAAAAATAACAATTAAAAAAAGAATCTGAAGTTGAAAAATATCTAGGATTACATGTGATATGTACTGTTCTTTTTTAAAGCCATAGCTTCTTTATATATAAATGAAGACATGACATGCCATGCCTACTACATAACATCATTACTATGGTATGTAAAATATATGCTAATAGTTTGTGCTTGTAGGTTTAAAGCAGTCAGTTTGTTTAGTGTGTTATGAATAATTTGTAACTATAACTTAAAATTTCAATTTGTGGATTATGTACTTAAAAATAACTTAAAGGAGATCTAAAATCACTCCAGTAAAACACCATTTACATTCAATGGCATTTCTCATTTGTTTTGTTACATAGGAAAGGGCTGGTCTTACAGCTGTTGCCTTATGAATTACATGTAACTATATCTTAACCTATCTAGGTATTTTTCACGGAGTCATACATCATGTCAGTGACATCCTGATGCCACGCAGGAAAAATTTTAGAACTGCTCTACTAAGTCATGTTAGCTTCCCCTCCTCATTGCTTTTATATGAATCAACTCTGTATGAGAAGATTCTTGAAAGCTGGTCTCTGTATTTTATCCAACACTGAGCAATGTCTAAGTACATGTTTTTTATTAGTGTCACCTTCAAATTATGTATTAAAATATTTTACTTTCAAGAATAAATTCAGATGTAATTAAAATTCAGAAAGTATAAAATTATACCTCAAAATTTTAATGTGAACATGAAAAATCACATGAAAGAACTCGAATATATTAAAAATCCATGGGAAAATGGCTGAAAGATAATATGCAAAATGTTAAACATTAAATGTTTCTGCTTTATACTTTTTTGTTCCTGAACTTTCTCCGGTGATAACTCATTACATTTATTTTTCTCACCTTAATATTTAAAAAGACACTTTTAATTACAAAAGCAATATATTCCACATTTCATTTATAAAGAATCATAAAAGAAAAAACAGGTGATGCCAATTCAGTAATAAAGAAGTGTAGATATCATCAAAACACTATAACGAAACCAGTAGTCAAAACTAAAAAGCAACAAAGACATCTTCTGGACATTTTAAGAATTACAGTTCTTTTTTAAACAAAGGATCTTATTTCCACCTGAGTTTAACAGTTATTTAAAAGCCACACATTAAGAGGTGCAAAATTTATAATTAGGTTTAAAATTACAAATATTACATGATTAAATTATAAATACAACATTTAAAGAAGAAAAATACAAAATTACTGCATATACATTGGAATTATGTCATTTCTAAAATATCTTTGAAACTATTTCCAGGTAAACTGCAAAGTCTAAATATTCTCATAAGAACAATTTATTGTTATGCAAGGAACATATATATGAAAACTAGATGCAGTGTTGAGTCAATACTTTAAAATACTTTAGAACACCTTCTGAATCATGGAGCCCATTTATAACAAAATATCTTGGTATTTTAGTCATCAATTCAAAGAACTATATTTAATAAGGTAATCCAAAACCATATTTATTATATTTAAGCAATGCAGTAATTTAGAAATATTATTTCCCGTGAAATATAATTATTAAAAGTCCAAACTGTTCCTTCAATTTAAACCTCTATTCTTTTCAGCCTGAAACTTCTTGTAGAATTATATTACTGTAGGCACAGTTAATAATTTGTATATGAAGTATGACTATTTTATTCTTAGAGCAGGAATGATCAGTTGTACCATAGTCATGTTTAGGAACTAGCAATGATGTACAATATTTGTATCTCTAAATGATTTTTGAGTGTACACCTGCTTTGAGGACAGTTTTTTTGAATTATATTTTAAAAAATTAACCCGTAGCAAACTCAACTAGCAAAACATGTTGCATAGTAATAATTGTGTTTGGTAAGAAATGTATGCTTTAATTTGATATAATTTGAAATGAGTAGATAATCTACAAATGAAAGCATGCTTATTTCTTAAATCTACCATTTCTTAATATCTTTGTATAACAGGCCATGATGTGATTTTATAACTAAATTCTAATACTAGAATGAAGCATTTAATTCTCTAGACTTTGATGTCACCTTTATCTTTCAATTTGTTGTATGCTTTAATAGTTCATGATTTTTTAAAGCAGAAATCCAAATAAATGATTGAGATAACCATAAATAATGTTTGAAAGAGGCTGATATTAAGTTCTTCAAGAGTGATAGGTTATCGTCATATGGAAGTGTTTCAATAACATAAGTAACATGATTATCTTTTTTTTCTTTACTGACTACTCTCTGCCAGTTTATGCACAACTACTGAAAGAAACAGGTTTTCTGGTGTATGCTCATTTTTCTTTAGGCAGTTATATATGATTTGATCTTGGAAAGTTGCTTCCAGGAATTCTGTAAGAAATAAAATATTTATGCATCAAATAATGGTGATTTTTAATTCTTAATGGATCAGGTAACTTAAGGTAAGTGCAATAAATAATTATTTTATGTGAATACAATCTAAAAAATATAAAGGAGGAAAATTATCCTATTTTGGACTATTTAAAATTTGGATTATTCTGAGGACTCACTGAAACACAACTGATTATAGCAAGGGAAGTCAGTGCAGCAAGAGCCCAGCTTAAGTTAAATCTGCTGCTGGGGTCAGTCTTCCTAAGAGGCAATGAATAAGAGCATAGTTACAGAAAAGTTGGAGGAGATAATCCTTGGAAATCCAGGTGGGGAAGTGCTGATCAGCAGAGTGGTCTCTAAATGAGAAGTAACAAGGTTGTTAGGATGAAGCTTGACTCTGGGGCTTGGTCCAGACCGGAGGCAGTGGTAAGTGGGAATTTTAAAGAAGGCTTTGAAGAATTTACAAAATCCTCTGGCCCCAGAATTTCAAAGTTGAATATACTTGCTGTATAAAATACAAGTGAACTGCTTTGCATATTCAGTGCATAGAGTAAGGGGAGAGAAAATACAATTAAAAGCAGTTCCCATTTATTTATTACAGTATTACTGTACTAAGGCAATTAGGATTTGACGTTGATAATCATCTCAAGTCTTCTGAATTACCATGTTACCACACAGGACTTTGGGTAAGGTTTGGTGACATGAGAAAAGAAGTCCTATGCTGAAAGCTTTTCTCAGCTACCAGAGTAAATATATAACAGTGCACAATACACTAATATTGCCTACTTTTATATATGATTAGAAAATATGAATATGGAGGCTTTGTAAATGGTGAGGAATGATATTACAACAGAGAATAAGAATAGCTTTACCTTCTTCCCTCATCTTGGTTGCTCGGGTACATTTGGGCAGTCGGAGATGCAATATTCTGATGTGATAAAAGAGTTGGAGGAAGATTTTTTCCTCTGAGTTGCCAAAAAGCAATTTCTTCATGAATGTTCCGAGAATTATTTGACAGAATCCCTGCACTCCTGTTTTTTTTGTCTGGAGGCAGTTAAAATTATAAAACAATAAGATGCATTAAGTAATAAAGTCTTGTTGTTCTTAAACTAAATGTATGCTATATGTTTCATATTATGAATTAAAAATTTTAAATAAAAATATGAATTGGTACATGTGGCTAAAATTTTTGTGTGGTAATGACTCAATTTGATCCTTTCCTGAAAATATAATTATTTATATCTACATGCTGTAATACATACACACAGATTAAATGACTATACATTTAACAACAATAAGAATTTAGGCAGCACTATGTGAAAATAGGAAATAAATCAAGGATTTTTCCAGAAAGTCCTAAGAAATGGTTGCAAAACAAATCCTGAAGAAAGATATATTTGAAGGAAGTTTTGAAGACAAATACAGGATTGAACAAATGTAAAACATGACAATACTGAAGATGACATTGTACAATTAAAGAAACTAGTAACAATTTAATATGTCCAGTTTTTTCTACAGTTCTAGTTACTGGTAAAAAACCTAATGGTGGTCCTTATGATTAAAATTTTACAGCCATAAAGATGTAGAAGTGTGAAAAAATATTAGACAAAATAAAACATCACAACCGAGTAAAGTTTGCTGGGTTTGTTTTTAACTAGGTTTCCTTTAAGAACTGTAACCATGTGGTAGGCCCTTAGATCACCCAGTAGGCCCTTAGATCATTTTATAATTAGTATTATGTTCAATTTTATTGTCTAAGGAAAAAGGGAGAGGTTAAAAGAAGGGAAAAGAGGATCCCTCAAGAAAGAACAACTACCCCCAATTTTGTCAAAATAATAGATAGTAAAGAACTGGAGTTAGGGAATAGGCTTGTTCTAAACCTGAATAGACATAAAAATGTATGGTAGTAACAAAATAAATCAATTCCATGTCCTACTCTTTTGTTATATCTTCTCTTTTAAATTATCTTACAACTATCTTCCTAACTCTTGAAAATTTTCTCTACTATTAGCTTCCTGAATTTACTGGTGGTTTCATGGAAAACATATGAAAAAAACATTTTGTAAGATAGTCTCTATGCCCCAAGATTCTGTTACAAATTTCTGATTTCTACTTTTAGCAGAATTCACTACAAGATACAAGACACAGACACAAGATACAAAAAATGAAATAAAATATTTAAAAAGAAGTTAGTAAGTAATTGTGCAAGTAGGTATCTCAAGGTTATTGGGAGAGAACAAATACGTAGGTTACAACATATTAGTATTTGAGTACAGGAGAAAACACGATAGTCTCTGAAATCAGAAATTCAAGAAGAAAACTTGAATAAGCATGCAATTTTAAGAAATGTAAATTAAAATTTTTAGTAAAATTAAAATGAAAGTAAGATTTTGGTTTCAAATAAAATGGATTTTTTTTTCCCCATTCCTTCTGAAACTCTGTCAAAATACCTTCATTTTCAGGAGTCAATGTGAAGTCAGGTCCCAAGTAATGGCTATGTCCAGCAGGCAGAATTAGGTTTGTTATTTTAATGGGAGGTGCTTTCACTTGGCAAAATGAGGCACCATCCATAGGAGAACTGGTACCAGCAATCAACTACACCAAAAACAAAACAGTTAAAAAACATCTTCTGTCAAAAACTCAGATCAACAGACTTAGCCCTTATCATGAGGTCCATTTGACAATTAACTTAAATTTTTTTAAATTGGCAAACTCAGAATCGGTAAAAGCAACAAGAGCTTTTGGGTGGTTAATGTCCCTCAGAACCTACTGTTTTTCCAGACTGTGTTGTTCTTGTCACTAGAAACTAGTTCTTGATGGTGCCTTTCCTTTCCAAAGGATCTTAATTAGGTAAGTACAGAATTGAGAAAATGAGAATTTAGACTTCTCACTTTTGTAATATTTCTTCTTTTTCTATGAAAAGAAATTTCTGAAAGGTAAGAATTGTTTCTCCTCTATCTTTGCATTCTTCCTATTACTGTACCTCATCAGGTGCTTTGCAGTTAACTAGTTTTTTTTTAAACAAGTAAATAAAAATGAGGAATAAGAAATGCATCTTAAAACAATTTTAACGAATGTGGTAAATACTCTACACAGTATTTACCTTTTAAGCCTGTTGAAGATTAAGTCTTTCAAAAGAATTTTAGGAATCAGAAAACAGGAGAAAAGGATTTCAACCAGAGGATTCTTGCTTTCCCTAAGAATTTATGCCTGCTCTGTTTTTATTTAGAAAGTGACCTCATTTATTCTTTAAAGATATGAATTCTGGTTCAACTTATTTGGAGACAGGCCTTTGCCATTTGTGTGAAATCACAAATTTATTTCATCCTTGAGTGTCACCAATAGCGCAGCATTGAAACCGATGCCAAAATACCTGTCCTTTCAAGCTGCCCAGTCCCAAATCCCCTCAGTAAATTCCTTTGTGGGAGCTTCTTCCCATCACTAAAAAGATCGTAGTCAAATTTCCTTCTAAAACCATGTCAAAATGTTTTGGTTTGAAAGACAAATTTTAGAGTTTCATGTATTTCTCCCTATTTTGCTGTTAAAAAAGCAAGCATAGCACCAATGGAAATAAAGACACACTAGACTGAACTGATAAACTTGAAAGGTTTTCTGTTTTTGTGTCTTCTCCACAGATAAAAGAAATAATGACTCAATTTTGTCCTAGCCATAAAAATAAGAATATTGTTGAATTTTAAAATATATTTCTCTAAAAGAAAGACTTTAAACTATCCTATTAATCATATATGGAGGAATCAAAATGAAATTTAAATAAAATAGAATAAAGGAAAAGTTAAATTCTTTACTATAGCACTGATTCAAATGGCAAGAATATGTAGCAAGCATAACACAAGATAACATCATAGTGGAGTAAGGAGAAAATCTGGGCTTACAATATGATAAACAGAAATACAGGCAGCAAACAAATCTTTTAATGAAATATTTATCCCCAACTAAAATTTGAATTCATGTACTTTTTCCGTTAAATGAAACCAATTTAAAAACTATATATGGAAACTGGGATCTTTGTAGTTATTCTAAGTGATTGTTTAAAATTTATCAACATTACTTGAAAGTAAAATTTATATATTTCAATGTGCCAATAATTTTTGTAGATCTTTCAATGGAGCCCTTACACCTGATATGGTAGAAAGAATAATTCCCTTTCTGCAAAGTCTAGTGTCCTAATTTCCAAAGCCTGAGAATACAGTCCTTCACAGGGCAAAGGAGTTTGCACGTGTGATTGATTTAAGGGCTTGGGGATGGGGAGATTACTCTGGGTTGCCAGGTGGAGGGAGACTGGAGGGTGACAATGAGAGAAGGAGGTATGCTAATGGTAGCATGGGTCTCAGTGATGTCCTGGCTCAAAGAGGGCCCAAGCCAAGGAACGCAGATAACCTGGAGAGGCTGTGAATGGCAAGGAATTGCTTTTCCTTTGAAGCTTCCAGAAGAAGGCAGCCCAGTCAAAATTTTTGATTTTAGCCCTCTAAGACCCATTTTCAGACAGCTGACCCTAGAACTGTAAAAATAACAAATCTGTGTTAAGCTAATAAACCCATGATAATTTGTCAGAGGGCCAATAGGAGACTAATTCATGGGGTAGAAGTTTTTCAAGAGTGGCTTGCTATATATTTGTATAAAATACAGAAATAAAAAGAAGGCTTGAATCACTGAACTAAATGTTTTTTGATCATTTGTTCTCTTTTGAAGACTAAAGTCTAGGATAAAATCTTGAGTAGATGACATTAGATAGTATTCTTTCTTAGTTACATCATATAGATAAGTTGCTAGGTACTTTTTCCTCTTACAGGGTATACATTTTAGAAAAAATTTTGTAGATATTCACAAATAAATTTCCTTTGCCTAAATTGATTTTTATTAACATTGCACAACTTTAAGTCTCATAGGTCTCTGTTCCTACTTTGAGCTGTAATAGAAGCTTGTTAATAAAAAAGTCAAGATTAATAGAAACCATTAAAAAATTACAAACATAACACATGTTCATTTTTTTAAAAGCATATCAAAGTACAAATATTCATCAGTCTTTTTTTTTTCAGTGCTGGGGGCGGAACTCAGGTTCTAACATGTGCTAGGCAAGTGCTCTACCACTGAGTGGGCATCTGTTGCCTCTCATATTAATCTTTTGATGCAAGATGAAGCCTCTTCTGCAAGCAAGCAACTTCAATTGGTAGACTATTCCTGGTTAAATCATATTCTGAAAGTTTTGCTTCAATTTCTACTTTTGGTTTCTTTAAAATAGCAAGAATTTAAAAACATGTAGAATATAAGAATTTGTATAGAGTTTGAAAAAATTTCCTACATATTTTCTCTGGGTTTTTTTTATCATTTTCTCCCATCTTGCAAGATTTTTTCCCTCCCATCCTAATTTAATGATATGTGTGCGTGACTGTTCTTTATCCAGACCTTCCCAAATATCCAATTTGATTTTCAAAGAAACAGAAATAATAATTTATACTTTACATTTATAGTTCATTTGTTTATTTATAATAACTAGCATAACAGGTTTTTAAAAAACATAACCAACTCTTGATAAGTATGAGAATTCATAGCTGAAGGGAGAAGTGGACTAGGGAAGAATCTATTAGTATCAAAAATTCTATGAATTTGGAAATCCGTGTATTTATGGAGCAATGAAGAGAAGCAGTTACATAATACAGAGAGCTAAGCGAAAGCCCATTAGGAGGGCATCCAAAGTAGTCCTTTTTCCTTCTTCTTCCAGATCCATTTCTAAAAGCAATCATTCTTACTTGACTCCAGTGTCTCTGGCTTCACTTACATCTGGCTCCCTTCCATTCTCCACCCTAGTCCTTGCAGGTCTTTATAACACTTCTGTTGGATTATTCCTAAAATTTAAACTGGCTGAGTGGTAGAGCATTTACTTGCTTAGCATATGTGAGGCTCTGGGTTTGATCCCTAACAATGCAAACAAACTAAGTTTCAAATAGTTTCCTGCCTCTTTCAGTCTCTTCAAATCTTGCAAAGCCTCAGCTCTAATAATCTTACCTCCTTGTTCAAAAGCTATACATTTTTTGGTTAAATTTTGTCTTTGAGGATGGTTGTGAAGAAACTGTTGGTCAATGATAAAACTTCCTACAGATGTTTTCTGGGTTTCTTCTATTTCTACTTTCTTTCTGATATGATCTTATATATTAGGGCTCATGGGTAGAAGGACCAGCTACTCTGCCAATGCATAAGAATACAGGCACCAATCTTCCTTGAACTACACAATCCAGAGAGTTGGGGTAAGAATTTTTTTTCTTCCCTTCCTCTCTGGCTAAATGGAAACAATTTTGTTAGTTTCTATTTATGAAAGGATAAGCACTCTGATATTAAATAATTTATCTCATGTCAAAGCACACAATGAGAATACAGATATTGAATAACATACATCAAAGATAGGAAACGGAATTTCTTTTGATAGTAATTAGTAGATTCTAAAATGATCGACACATCATGAGTTTAAACATTTAAGTCAAAATGCATAGGATATAATGCTAACTAACAATTTATATGTTTCAAAAGGAAAATATATAAGTAATATAATTACCAAATTTTTCTTTGCTTGTAGTTCAGAAAAGTGAAATTCAGCTTTTACCCTATCATCTGAATTTACAGGAATTCCATCTAACATCTGTAAATTAGGCAGTCGAAATATGAGGACATGGCGATGTAGAATTTTTCTACAAATCTAAATGAAGTTAAAAATAACAAATTATTCCTAAACTCACTTTTATTTCAAAGATTAACTTTTAAAAGAAGGAAATTTAGCACAGGCAGCAAAGATGACAGACAAAGACAGCTACTTTATAGTATTAGATGCTACAGATATGAACTCACTTTTGAAAGATTTCTTAATTTCCTTCCATGTCAAATGAAGGTAAGAATATTTTTTTTAAACTATGATCATCATTTGTAGTTTTAGTTTTTTAAAAAATTTTATAATATTGCTTATTAGCTATAGGCAATATCAAGTCATAAATAGGATTACATTATGAAAGTTCATTTATCAGTAGCTTCAAACTTACACATTTTCCCAAAGGTACTATCCAATTTAATTCAACACATATTTACTGACCTGTATGATCCATCCCTTAATAATGTCAACTTACTGTATAAAATATTTGCAGGAGGAGGAGGGAGAGAAGGAAGAGGAGGAGGAAAAAGGAGGAAAGAAAGAGAAGAAAAAGTCATCAAAAGAGAATGAATAAACTGTTTTAATAGAATGTAGTAAAATACATATACACTTTGGAGAATGATTTCTAAAACAAAACAAAGCAAAAAACTGACCACAACCTAGGCCACAAAGCAAGTTTTGTCAGTATCAAAGAATACACGGACTGTTTCTTCCAAAACATTAGAAATAAATGACACACAACTAAAAATACCCCACTTATTTAAAATTAGTAATGCAGACAAATATATATTCCTCAATAACTCACAAGTTAAAGAAGAAATATTCTGGAGAGTAAAAGATTTTAAGAAAGAAATAGTAGCAATACTATACATCAAAACTTTTAGGATCCTGCTAAAGCAGTTCTTTGTAACCTAACATTTATTGATCAATTCAGAAAAAACAGTGAAAATTAATGAGCCTGTTGTCCTACTTAAGAATTTTTTTAAAAACTAAATTCAAGAGACTAAACAAGGAAATAATAAAGGGTAGAAATTAATGTAATAGAAAACAAAAAAAATATCCTTGAGAAAATCAAAATACATGCTTTGAAGAAGCTATTATGATAGAAAAAAGCCTTGTGGTTGGTTATTTTACACAGGATTTTCTTGGAACGCTCACTAAGCTAAGCAGGCATTTTCACCTCTCCTCTGTCATTTTTCTTAAATTGTTCCACTATTAAATGGATAAGAATGCTGCTTATTGGATTTTCTCAAAGGCTCCAACAAGAAAGACAGCAAATTTCTTCCCAAATTAATTTATAAAGCAAATGCAATTCCACTAAAAATCAATGCAATTCTCATGTAACTTGAGAAGTTGTTTCCTAAAAATTATAGGAAAGTGTAAAGGGACGAGAATAGCCAAGACGGTGAAGAAAAAACAAAGATAACGAAGAAGAAAAGGAGATGGAAGAGAAGAATACATAGAAGTCCTTACATTAACAGACATTAGGACAATATAAAACATTTGTTAATTAATGCAGTATAACAGTATCAATACTGAATACTGTGAGAGACAAGCAGGCTAAAGAGCAGAGCTACAGAACTCTAAAACAGACTTTCCTATGTATGACAATGGTGGTTTGCATTGTATTCAAGTGGACGAAGGCAGAAGGCAATAAATTCTGCTGGGTTATCTGGCCATGCATACAGAAATAAATAAAAGCAGTTCTTGTTTCCAAGCATACCATATAAAATAAATTATATACAACTATCAGGAAATTAATAAACTGAAAAAGTAACATACTTACTGGATTGCCATAAACTGTAAGCTCTCTGAGAGAAGAGATAACATCAAGTTTTTCCAATTCTGCCATATCCTGTTCAAAAGTCAATGAATTATTATTTGGTTACATCCAAATCCTTAAATATAGACTAATTTCAAGTAATTTCTTTTTTTTTCTTCATATATCCTTTTATTGGTACATTTTAGGTATACAATATAATGACATTCATCATTGGAAATTTGCACCTTTACATTATCTCTTGGTTCTTATTTTTTCCCCCTTCCCCTGCCTTCCCCTCAATCCCAAGTAATTTTATGTTAAGTGCTGGATCACAGGTAGCTCATGATTAAATCCTCTGAAGTGAGCCTGGATGACAGTTTTTCGGCATTGTTGAATATGAGCAGATCTGTGTACTGTGGGTCCCAAATACACAGTTGATGAAGAAAGTCTAACAGGAAAATGGACCACATAGCAGCACTTATAAGAAAAATGCCAAATTTTTTCTCAGAAGTTATGATTTATTCTAGAATTCAGATTATATTTTGTGAATTCCTCCAGAGTATTGACCAAGAAGTATGGAAAAGGTGTATACAGTCTAAAAAATATCAAAGGTACATATTTAAATGAAATCTTAATAATAAAAGAACATGTAATACTGGGTGGACTACAACATCCTTCTATACCCATTGGGGATTTATGGAGCTGAAAAACTGTGTCTCTAGTTAAATGATTTGTCTTCCATACTGCACAGGATTATTCATTATTTTCTAACATTGGTGAAAGCTTGTAAATACATTTTAGTTTTTGTAAAAGTATTTCTTTTTTCCCCCCATTCCTCTGCCCTCCCTTCAACCCCTCCACTTCTCCCTATTTGCAAAGATGTAAAAGTATTTCTAAAATACCGATTCTAGTAAAATAACAAGCTCTGCCTAAGGTTGTTGCTCACTCATAGTAACACAATAAAATTTTTTGTATCTGGAATTACAAGTGGACAAATAACCAATTCATATAGTAACTATAAAAATATTTAGATCTAATTTGATTCATTTGAAAGTGGAATGTGATTTTTAAAATGACTGATCATTATGACTTAATTATCATAAAAGAGGTCTTTGAAAACACTCTAGCATATAGTTATCCATAAAGATATTGTACATTTTAGTCCATAGGTAGTTCTCATGTGTGGAATAAGCCTGATTAGAAATCATGGACATGTGGAAAGTATGGCATTATTGTCTCAAATTAAACAGTATAGATGCATCCACTAGGGAAATACTCCTAATCAAAATATTCAATTCTCATGGGAAATATTAATATAATAGTCTATTAAGTCTGAAGAGAATAATGTGGTATAAAGTTTTAAAGAGACATCAAATGATCCATATGTCCATAACTGCATAAAGAGAGCTTCCCATTTTTAATATCGAATATTTTTTACAATAATGCGTTGGAGTTTCCTTTTACTGGCTAACAAAAGTTAATGGGTAAATTTTTAAGAATTTTATCATGTCATGTTTCAGCGTGAAATTCGTTATTGTAGAAGAAATTGTACCATGGAAATTGGCAAATGCTATTAATTAGGGCTTTTTCCTTTGGGGAACTAGTTGTTACATATTAATCACCAGGAAATCAATGGTTATATTTGAGTATGCTGTCAGGGTAAGAATTTAATTTAGTCATAGTAGTAGATCTGAATTGGGGCCTTCATGTAGGACAAAAAAATATTTCCTGGTGTTATTTGTAGCTTCAGATCATTATCAAAATGTTTAAAAGTAGGTAGAAGATCTGGATGTGAGGTAGGTAAATCATTTAGACACAGGGATCAAATGGAAATGCAGAGCTGAACTCATTTTCAATTGTGTTTCTATGATTTTTAGAAGCAAGACTATAGGCAACAATTTTCCAAATCTACATTATTGGACGTGATGGCTAAGTCAAAAACTTCACATTAAATGTGCAGATCAATGAGGAATAACATACACCTTATTCAGAAGTATTATTTTTCTGCAAATTTTTATGGGCTTTTCCCCTCATTCTATGAATCTTTACAAACCCAAAGCTTTGAGGCCTGCCATTCCACCGGTGAGTGCGTGTAGATCCCCAGGAGCAGCTGTGAGGCCTGTAGCAGTGCAGCTGCAGGTGGATCCCAGCCAGGGCTCCATCCCGACCCCAGAGGCTAAGGACACCTGCCCAAGCCACAGGCCTGTCCAGAAAGGGGCTGCATAGGCATATGGGCTTTAGCCAGAGGCCCGCCATACCATTGGCCACAGTCAGGGACCCGCCTGGAGAAGAGCTGTACAGGCACACATGCAATATCCAGAGGCTTGCCCCAATACCACTGATAAGTGTGAGGAGACCCTAGCCAAAGCCTGTATAGACAACAGAAACTGAGGTGCACAGCCCCCAACCAAAGGCCCTGGACTCCCTGAACTGTCAATGAAAGGGGACTTGGAAAAAATGAAATCAGAAATAATTTCTCACATAACAGCAGAGACTGTGCCCATAGTACAAGAAATGATTAATAAATCTAGAGAGGACACAGATAAAAAAAATAGAGGAGCTGAGGAACATGATGGAATCCCAACATAGGAAACTAAAGGAATCCATAAAACAGATGCAAGCAGATTTCCAGGAGATTAAAAACTTCACTGAAAGTTTACACAGTAGAATGAGCCAATGTGAGGATAGAATTCCAGATATAGACGATAGGATTGCAATTAGTGACCAGGAAAAGAAAAATTTCTTTAAAATACTAAGGGACCATGAGAAATCAATCCAGCAGCTGAAAGACAATGCAAAGAAGAATAACATCAGATTGATTGGAGTCAAGGAAGAAAGAGGAGAGAGTGCAGATGACATAAAGAAAAGTGTTCAGAGAAGTAATGGCAGAAAACTTCCCAAGCAGGGGAAAAAATGTGACATAGATAACTGGGGCATATAGGACTCCAACTAGTCGTGATCAAAAAAAAATCTACACATAGGCATATAATAGTTAGGATTCCAGAAACCCAACAGAAGAACAAAATTCTACAAGCAGTTAGAGAAAAGAAACAAATCACATACAAAGGAAAGCCCAGCAGAATCACACTTCTCAACACAGAACAAACTTCTCAACACAAATCCACAAGGGAAGAAGAGCGTGGAGCAATGTATTTCAAGCCCTAAAGGAAAAAAGCCTCCAACCCAGACTGATGTACCCTGCAAAACTATCTTTCAAAATTGATGGAGAAATAAGATACTTTCATGACAAAGAGCACCTGAGGAACTTCATATGAATACCAAACCAGCACTCCAAAAAATTTTAGACAATATCCTAGGAAAAGACAATGAGGATCACAACTCCAGGAAGCCCAGCAGAATGACTCCATCGAGCAGGACAAGAAACTAAACACAAAGGGGGAGAAGCCAACAAAAAGAAAAAGTCATGACAATGATGTCAATATATATATATCAGTTATAAGCATCAATGTTAATGGTCTCAATTCACCAATCAAAAGAAATACACTGGCAGAATGGGTCAAGAAGCAAGATCCAACAATATGCTACATATAAGAAACACACTTAATTCAAAAAGAAACTCATAGACTGAAAGGTAAAAGGTGGAAAACAATACTACATGCGACTGAAAAAAAGGAGTAGCTATCCTCTTTGCAGATCAAGTGGATTTCAAACCAACACTGATTAAGAGAGACAAAGAAGGACATTACATCCTTGTAAAGGGAACAATCCAAGAGGAAGAGATGACAATCATTAATATATATGCACCAAACACTAGTGTGCCCAACTATATAAAACAAATACTAACGGACATTAAAAATTATATAAGCACTAATACAACAGTAGTGGGGGAACTTAATACCTCACTCTCACATATAGATAGATCAACTAGACAAAAAATAAACAACAAAATACTAGAACTCAAACTCTTGAAAAAATGAGCTTAACAGATGTTTACAGAGTGTGCCACTCCAATAAATCAGAATACACATTCTTCTCAGCTGCGCATGAGTTATTCTCCAAAATGGACCACATACTCACTCATAGAACATTTTTAAGTAAGTGCAAAGGAATTGAAGTTATCCCTGGTATACTGTCAGACCATAGTGTGATGAAATTGGAGATCAACAGCAAAAGAAACTGCAAGAATTTCATAAACACATGGAAACTACACAACACACTTCTGAATAACCAATGGGTCACAGAGGAAATTAAAGAAGAAATCAGACAGTTCCTACAATTAAAGGACAATGTCAATACAACATATCGGAATCTATGGGACACAATGAAAGCAGTCTTATGAGGGAAATTCATAGCAGTGAATACTCACATTAGGAAAACAGAGCAAGCTCAATTAAACAACCTGATGCTGAACCTCGAGCTTCTAGAAAAAGAAGAGCTACACAAACCTAAAGCCCATAGAAAGGAGGAAATTATAAAGATCAGGGCAGAAATCAATGGAGACTAAGAGAACAATACAAACAATCAATGAGGCCAAAAGAATACATACAATTGACAAATCCTTAGCCAACCTTATCAGAAAAAGGAAAGAAAAGGCCCACATCCATGCAATTAGGAATGAAAAGGATGAAATTACAATGGACCAAGCAGAAATCGAGAGGACCATCAATATCTACTTCAAGAACCTATATGCCAATAAGATGGAAAACACAAAAGAAATGGACAGATTCCTAGATAAGTATGAATTACCAAAGCTGAACAAAGATGATCTAACAATTCTAAATGACCCAATATCAATGAAACTGAAAATGTAATTAAAAACTTACCAACTAAGAAAAGCCTGGGTCCTGACAGCTTCACTGCTGAATTCTATAAGACATTTAGAGAGGAACTACTGCCACTACTGTTTAAACTCTTCAATGAAATTGAAAGGGA